ATCATTCGTCTGCGACATTTGTTTTCTCGTAAAGGGAATTGTTTCCTGATGCGTGACGTTGTTAATATCCGGATTGTACGGACGTAAACTTTCATGAAGCGTCTGAATGATTTTTTTCTTCAGTTTGACGTCCTCCGCTACCCCGTCTTGTCTTAAAATATCAGGAATATGCTCTTCTTTGTAAGGTATGAGATGGTATTTCTTCATTTTCACACTCCGATGGCCTTGGCGATAGCTCTTCCTCCGAGCGTAGATAACAGACCCAAGAGAGCCGGAAGGATCAAAGGTAAAAAACCTCCTTTCTGTATCAATACCCTCTTTATATTCTCGTGACCTTTCTTTCGGTTTCCCAATGATCTTATGAGGGGTAAAAACCTCTTTACCTTCCTTTTTATAATTGGTGTGAGTGGAACGTTTCCTCTGCAAAGGTTTAAGCAAATTTCGCGAATGATATTTAGATGTCCCTTTTTCACGTCACGAAGACTTCTCTTTGTCTGGACGATTTAGCTTTGGACAAGAGGTGCAAAAACCGTGCATGTTCCTCCAAACGATTCACGAGGAAGGGTCGTAGACGACTTCTGGTCCCTCGTCCGGCAAGATCCTTGTTCTCACGCGGAAATTATCGGGGCAAGTTTGCGACCGGTCGATCAGGATGTAACTGAATGGTGTTTTACACGCGTCCGAATATATACGCGGAAGGACATGCCCTCTCTTCCCTCCAAAGAGCTGTCGAGATAGTACCTGGAGTTGATCGACCGTCCTCACCGATCGGAATATCATTAGAGCCGTAGAATTTAAGCTGATTGTTCGAAAGTATGAATCTTGGTGAAACATGTTCTGAGTAATGAAAATGACGGAGGCGTTATAGTGGTGAGCAGCGCCTATGAAACACTCGCATATCTCCTTCAGTTTTGTCCTATTCGAGAGAAAGTCGTCGAAAATAGTTAGCGAGTTTGTTTCGGGATCCAAATTTTGTGGAATGTCCTTAGTGAACACAACGTCCGGGTGATCTTTAAAAAATGGTTGCTCGTAAACGTACACGTAGAAAATGACGTCCAACTTCTTATCAAACATTTCCTGTCTATAATGCAACAATTTACGAATATACGTGCTTTTGCCTGATTTCGGAGAACCAATCATTGTTACAGACGCGGGGCGTCTCAAATTGGAACTTATTAAGAACGACCGTCATGACGGCCGGTTTGAAAATGTGAAAGGCAGTGTATCTACACCTTTCTATATACGCCGGATACATTTACTACTTTTCTTACAAAAATACACGATTAGATGACCCGCCAGCTTCCTCGCGCTGGCTTATCATAACCATAAACACAGAAGCAACCGACCCTGGTGTCGAATTCCCACTTAACACGCGCAGCCGTTCGTCAGATCGTAAACAGATTGCTTCAAAGAGAAGAGCGGAAACTACAGAAACCTAATACGATGCACGGTGTCAAATTCGCGATTCTGGAGGCTGTCACTTCCAGATGCAATTGCTTAGAGGAAGATATAACTCCCTGAGCGTACTCCAGCTTTGTGACTCTATAAAACCGCTTCGCACTCGAACTACCCGACTCACGCATCGTTTTTCTCCTGATCTTCGCGCTACAAGGTGAGCAGACTAAAAGCCTCGCGTTTTCCTTGCTGATAAGACATTTTGTTTTCAGCATTTAGTCTTCGAGAGGGAGAAAAATTAGCTCGGTCCTCCACCACACCCTTCTTGCACAGCAAGGTGAGCAGTCTAAAAGCATAGCGTTCAAATCGCGTATAGGATTTCTTTTTTTGTTTCGATATCTCTGAAAAGGTCACCTAGACGATCCGAATCATCGAGCCCCCTCGTCACCTAATCGTCGGATATCTACGAATATCGTCTAGCCATCTCAGTCCCATCATGGTTACCTGTCATCTGTGCTCCCCCGATGACCGACAGCATTATTCCAGTGCAGACTCGCTACAAGTTCACTTAGCCTTGGTTCACAATGTGACTCCCTCGCCATGCATTCCGTTTTACGAAAGAGTGTGCGCTCTTCGTCATTATGTGGCTCAATATGAGTTACACTTAGACGAAAGAGACACAGAGGCGTACGACGTGGCAACCTTTTTTAGGCATCGTGCAGAGCATATCTCAAACGTGCTCAGACATTTTGGTCTGCCTCTGCGTTTTTATGTGACACTCAGTGTCGAGCTCGGACGTCTCCTTCCTGACGACGACATTGATGTGACTGTACACTTTTTTCATAGTCAGGTCCAAAACGCATTTATGGACGGTAATATCAATAGTTCGATTCAGCGAGTCTCCAAATTTTCCATAGCACCATTTATTTTCTTCTTCTTCTTCAGCGAGTCTCCACTGAAATAGCTGCCCGGTTGGAGCATTATCAGGAACAAGGCTCGGGATTCTTTCTTGTCGGGATCAAAGTTTGTACTATTAGTTTGGGACGATTCCTTCCCCCGACCGTTGGTTGCGGACATTTTTCTCTGCCGGAGCAACTTGCCTCAAAGCAATGCCTTGTCAGTGTCACTGAGCGTCTTCACGAATCTGAACGGGGCATGTGCTTTGTGTTTGCGGTGCCCGCCGTTTTGCATCCTGCGAGCGGGTTTTACAGAGGAAGAGCATCCTCGTATCGTGAACATATGTGCAAATATGTGTTTCCGAAAACGTTCCCTGTAACCTTCCCGCAGGACGTGGGGGCCTTTGAGCGAAATAATTGTGTCTCAGTGAATGTCTTTGGTTATGACAACGGAAAAAACTTTGTCTACCCACTGAAGGTAGTTGATAACGAGTGGGAGCAGCATGTCGATCTTCTCCTTGTTGAGAATCATTTTGTGGGCATTACAAACTTTGCGAGACTTTTTTCAAATGCCAAAAGCCTACGCTTTCGTTGTAAGAGGTGTCTGACCGGGTTTCAGAGGCAAGAAGCCCTGTCTGACCATCTCTCAATGTGCAAGGACAAGAATCCGAGCAAAACCGTCTTCCCAAACAAGGGTGACGAACTATACTTTCGGAGGACGCATGTCATGGAAGAGTTCCCCTTTTATTGCGTTTACGACTTTGGAGCGATTCTGGAACCGACTCAGCCGACGGGTAGTGTTTATGAGAATCACGTCCCCAGCTCTTTCTGTCTTCTCGTCATCCGCTCGAACGATTCGTCCATTGTTGAGGAATACCTTCATCGCGGATCCGACTGCGTAGAAAGATTCATTTTGATTCTCAACTTTCTAGTGAAGGAAACACCCCGATTGATTAGGTCGAGTGAAGTGTCTCTTGAAATGACTCAAGAAAACGAGGCTTCCCACGCGGACTCTTCCCGCTGTGGTATTTGCTACGAAAGCTTTAGCAAGAAAATTAAAACTCGCGACCACGACCACATGACGGGAGAGTATAGGCGAGCGCTTTGCTCCCAGTGTAACCTAAACCATCGAATCAACAAACGTACCGTTCCACTCCTAGCGCATAACCATTCCTACGACCTGTTTCTTTCTAGGCAAGCTTAATTTGTTCGAGTCCAAGGATATTAACGTACTCGGAAGCTCGTGCCAGAATTTCAAATTGTTAGAGATAGGCAACCTTCGCTTTATTGACAGTATCGCATTTCTTAATACAAGCCTGGAGACGCTCGTGCAAAATCTCCACTCTAAGGGAACAGAGCATTTTCGTTGCCTTCGTCAGTCCTTTCCCGAACACGTCGATCTCCTTGCCCGCAAAGGAGTGTTTTGTTATAATTTCATTACAAGCTTTGAGAGTTACGAGGGTCAAAGCCTCCCGCCACGAGAGGCCTTGTTTAACAAGTTGACTGGGAGTGGGGTGTGTGAAGAGGACTATGAACATGCACAGGTCGTTTTCGGTACCTTTGGTTTGAAGAACCTCGGAGAATACAGCGACCTTTACCTAAAGACGGACTGCCTCCTACTTGCCGATGTTTTCCAAAACTTGAGACGGTGGACGCTGGAGACGTACGAAATTGAGGCTTTACATTTCGTATCGTTACCGTCCCTAAGCTTGTCGTGTGCGTTGAAACAGTCGAAAGTAAGACTGCAGCTAATTGACGATCCTGACACCTATCTCATGATAGAACAGGGTATTCGCGGAGGGATTACCCAATGCACGACCAGTCATGCTGTCGCAAATGTTCCGGGAACGGATACGTTTAACCCGCAGCACGAACCGTCTCAGATTTTGGACTTGGACGTGAACGGTCTGTATGCGGCGACAATGAGAGAAGCCCTGCCAGTGTCGGACTTTGAGTGGATGACGAAAGACGAGATTGCCTGCCTGAACATTGGTGACGTTCCAGATGACGCTCCGACGGGCTACATTCTGGAGGTAGACCTCAGATATCCTCATCACTTGCACGAGACTCATTCTGACTTTCCCTTGGCCCCTGTGAAGCAAAGCGTTCCCTACGATTGGTTGTCCGACTATCAAAAAAGTCTCATTGACAAGTTTGAAATGCCCAAAGAGGAATCCACTACGAAGCTGTTGCTCACACTTCACGACAAAACGAAATACGTTTTGCACTACCGGATTTTGAAGCTGTACATCCAGTTAGGACTAGAGGTCACCAAAATTCACCGTTAAGAGTGTAGTGCAGTCCTAATATTCTCGCAGCGAGCGTTCTTGAAGGAGTTTATTGATTCTAACCACAAGCTGAGACAGCAAGCAACCAACTTTTTCCAGAAGAATCTTTCCAAACTGTTCATGAACATCATATATGGCAAGACGATCGAGAATGCACGTAAACATGGACACATTAAACTGTGCGTTAAAGAGGACGATGTTGCGTTTTTGAAGACCTTTTATTCAACTGACACCCTCCAGCACCGCTCGTGCCGAGTACAACTCAGAAGTCCCATACGCACCAGGTTTTCTTTTGCCCGGCTACCGCCCCCGCGCTCGTAGTGCCCTCTGGACACCACATCTTTCCCCTCCTTTTTAAACAAACATACCCAGCTGGTAACATCCGGCCATTAACAGTAAATAGTTTAAAAAAGTCCGTCGCCTTTTTTTTTCACTCTTCTATTAGCCTTCGAGGCTTGCGCCGATCTCGCACGGGATACCGTCGCTCTCCGTCACTATTATCTGCATCCATGAGCGTCTCAGCATCCTGGGTGTTGCTTCTTGGCCTCGGGACTTCGGATGGTGCAGGCAAAGAGGCCTGTGGAAGGTATCTGTCGCCTGCGCTGTCTTCCGGTGTGCTGTCTGTCCAAGCCGTGGCAGACACCCCTCCCGCCTCGTCTGGACGCGACTCTGAAGGTCCGGAGTCTTGCGACGGTGCCCGGAGCAACTGGTCCTGATGCCTTCGCCATACCCGTCCCGGGGAGACTTGCACTTGGAAAGACACTGGACCAGTTTGGGCAGCGACTGTTCCTGGCTGCCACTTGTGACCACTTCGATAATCTCTGGCATAGACTTTGTCTCCTGCAGTGAAAGCCCGCTCTTGTCCTGGGTGTTGCCACTGTTGGCGGTAGTGTGCGCTGGCCACACAGTCTGCAACTGATGGTTTCAGGAGGTCCAATCTGGTGCGAACATGCCGCTGTAGCATGAACTGGGCCGGAGACTCTCTTGTTGTCGGGTGCCGGGTGTTCCTGTACGACAGAAGAAAACGTGACAACCTTGTACGGAGGGGATGGCTCGAAGTTCTTTTCCGTAGATAGTTTTTCATGGTCTGAATAAACCGCTCAGCTAGTCCATTCGTAGCGGGATGGTATGGTGCAGACGTGACCTGGGCGATACCATTGTTCCTTAAGAAAGTTTGAAATTCCTCCGACACAAACTGAGGCCCATTGTCAGAAACCATGGTTGTGGGCAGGCCAAACCGTGCGAAGCAATCTTGTACACACTGGATTATGACCTTTGACGTCGTAGACTCCAAGACAAACACCTCTGGCCATTTGGAGTGAGCATCCACGAGCACGAGGAACATTTTACCCATGAAAGGTCCCGCCAGATCCACATGCAGTCTCTCCCATGGATGTGTCGGCCATGCCCAAGGGTGCAGGGGAGCAGCGGACGGATTGTTTCGGTGCAGCTGACACATGGTACACCCTCCAATTTCCCTCTCAATGTCTTTATCCCGGAATGCCCACCAAACATAGCTCCTAGCCATTTCCTTAGTGCGCACGATGACATAATGGTCCCCATGAAGTTCTTCTAGGACCCTTTTCTGCAGGGTCTTCGGAATCACCACTCGTAAACCCCACATGAGACATCCTTGGTGGAGTGACAGCTCATTGCGGCGTACGTGGAAGGGTGCATACTCTGGATCGGTTGGCTTGCGTTCTGGGCCCCAACCATGCTTTACTCTTTCCACGATCTGACTTAGGAGGGGGTCTCTGGACGTCGCCCGTGCAATGTCTTTACATCTAAGAGGTACATTGTCGAAGTACTCACAGTAGAAGGCGAACGTTTCGTCGACGGCGTCTGTGTTGGGGTTGTCCGTTGCTTTTGGGAGTCTTGACAAGCAGTCTGCATTGGCATTTTCCTCGGAAGACCGGTGGACGATGGTGTAGAGGTGTGCGGCTAGCTGACAGGCCCACCTCTGGAGCCTCGCTGCTGTCATTGTAGGGATCCCGGTCGTTGGGCCTAGGATTTTCTGTAAGGGAGCGTGGTCAGTGATCAGCGTGAAGTGATAGCCGTACAAATAGTAGTGGAATCTTCTTATTCCAAAGATGATAGCTAGGCCTTTTTTTTCTAACTGAGAATAATTCTTCTCGTGCTCAGTCAGGGTCCTAGAAGCAAAAGCAACTGGCCGCTCTGTTCCATCTTCAAACGCATGGGACAGGACTGCCCCTACTCCATACGCCGATGCATCGCATGCCAGTATAATGGGTCGACGCGGGTCAAAATATGTCAGGACAGGTGCCGACGTCACCAGCTTCTTAAGCGAATCAAAGGAGTCCTGACAGTCTGTGCTCCATTCCCATGCAGCCTTCTTCTGCAGTAGACGATTCAGAGGATACACGGTAGTTGCTAAGTTCGGTAGAAATTTGCCATAGTAGTTAGCAAGCCCAAGGAATGAACGCAACTCTGCCTTGTTCTTTGGAGTGGGTGCATCTCGAAGTGCTGCTGCCTTATCCTCCATGGTTCGTAAACCATCCCGACTAATCACATGACCGAGGTAGGCAACTTCCGTTTGGACGAATTTGCACTTTTCTTTCTGAAGACGCATTCCCTTTTCTTATAATCGTGTTAAGACTGCTTTCAAGTTTTCAAAATGCTCACCCTGCGTTCTGCCAGTCACCAGGATGTCGTCCAGGTAGCAGGTGGTCTTCGGCAGCCCTTGAAGCACTTGATCCATAGTTCTTTGAAAAATGGAGGGTGCAGATGCTATGCCGAAGGGAAGACGGTTCACTTGGAACAGCCCCAACTGGGTGTTGATGGTGAGGTACTTCCGCGCTGCAGGATGCATCTCCAGCTGTAGGTAGGATTTTGACAGGTCCAGCTTTGAGAAAAACTTCCCTCCTGCCAGCGTTGCAAACATCTCTTCTATCCTGGGGAGCGGATAGTTGTCGACATCCAAGCACGGGTTGATTGTTGACTTGTAGTCGCCACAGATTCTTATGTCTCCATTCTTTTTGACGACCGACACGATGGGCGATGCAAACTCGCTGCTGTCCACCGGGGTCAGGATCCCCGCCTCCTTCAGTGCCATCCGTTCTTTAGAGACAGCTGCCTTCAGGGCGTGGGGCACTGGTCTTGGCTTGAGGAACTTTGGAGTGTGCCCACTCTTCAGCTTGAGGTGAGCTTCAAACCCCAGAAGACGGCCCAGATCGTCTGAGAACACCTGAGCAAAGTCCTTCAAAAGCGTGTCGACTTGTTCCTTGCTCCCCTTCTCCAAGCACTGGACAGCCTTGACGCTTGTCCAGTCGAGCCTCAGCACCTCCAGCCAGTCACGTCCCAAAAGCGGGGGACCCTTGAAGTCCACAATCTGCAGCGGTAACTTGTGAACCTGGTCTTGGTACTCCACTTCAACCTGTGCCTCTCCTACCGGCTTCACCTTTTTACCGGTAAATGCTCGAAGGACGACTCCACTTTTTCCCTTCACTAGATTGGGAAACCTTGTCTTGTACAGGTCTAACGGGAGTACCGACACCGCCGCCCCGGTGTCTACTTCCATCGTCAGCGGAATCGTGTTCACCTTCACTGTTACTTGCAGAGGCCGCGGACGTGTCCCCCGAAGCTCGAACATCTCGACCTCGTCTTCCGTGTCGACGTTCAGCGTCTTGACTTTTTCCCCTTGATTCCGCCGGCCTCGTGTCGGTGCTCTGCGATGCTGAGAAGCTGCTGGCCCGGACTGCTGGCTCCTGCACACTCGTTCAAGGTGTCCGCGTCTTCCGCACCTACGACAGTCTAAGCCTTTCCACCTGCAGTTAATTGCTGTGTGATTCGTAAGTCCGCAGTGCTTGCATTCGGACTTGTCTTGGTCCACCTTGAGCACCTCGGCGTCCGCGCTCCGGCAATGTAAAACTTGCGCGTTCGCGGAGGCGGCTTCCATCGCCACTGCGATTTCTAGCGCCTTCTTAAACGTCAGGCCAGCTTCCGACAACAGTCACTTTTGAATGGAGTCGCTGATAATGCCGCATACCATGCGGTCACGTAAGGCTTCGTTCAAAGTGCCGCCGAATTCACATGTCTGCGCCAACTTTTTCAGCTCGGCTACGAACTCGAGGATACTTTCATTCTCGTTTTGGTTTCTTTTGTGAAAACGGAAGCGTTCCGCGATGACAAGAGGCTTCGGCGACAGGTGCTCTCGCAATATGGCTACCAGCTCGATGTACAACTTGCTAGCCGGGATGTCCGGCGACACCAAACTCTTTAGCAGAGCGTACGTCTTCGCGCCAATGAGGCTTAGGTACGCTGCCACTTGCCTTTCTGGTTTGACGTCGTTTGCGACGAAAAACTGTTCGAGTCGCTCGATGTAGGTTGGCCAGTCCGTGCCCGCTTCGTCGAACGGTTCAATTCGACCGAGGGTCGCCATGGCGTCGCGGCGTCACCGGGGAGTAGTGCGGCGGGCGACTCTTCGACGGGTCTCGCGTGGCTGGACGCTCGTCGCCAGTTGTTGCGTTTTTGAAGACCTTTATTCAACTGACACCCCCCAGCACCGCTCGTGCCGAGTACAACTCAGAAGTCCTATACGCACCAGGTTTTCTTTTGCCCGGCTACCGCCCCCGCGCTCATAGTGCCCTCTGGACACCACAGACGACATACTGAAAATGCTTCAGAAACCGAACCTGACGCAGTTTCGAGCACTTAGCTCGCAGGTCGTAATTTTCCAGTTCGCTCCGAAAGTGATCAAACTCAAGCAACCACTCTACGCAGGGTTCTCGATTCTTGAGTTATCAAAAATAGTAATGTACGACTTCTTTTATAATCAACTTCGTCGTGCGATCCCCTCAGCGAGAGCTCTTTACTGCGACACGGATTCCTTCTTCCTACACCTTCAGGGATCAGACGTAGACGACAAACTCCTCCAACTCCGAGACGCATGCTTGGATACATCTGGATATCCAGAGAGTCACAAACTCTTTTCAACCGAAAACAAAATGAAGCTCGGTGTGTTAAAAAACGAATATCCGACTACTCACTTGGTGGCTTTTTGTTGCTTGAAACCGAAACTATACAGCTTCAAAACAAGCAGCAACACGTGTTGCGTAAGAGCCAAGGGAGTAAAGAAATGTGAGTCTCGCAAGTTGACCTACGAGCTGTACAAGCACGCTCTAGAGACGAAAACTCTGCACCGAGTGACGCAGCATTTGATTGCTCGAAAACTTAACGAGAACAAAAGCATCGCGGTCGAAAAGATTGCTCTGAATCCGTTCGACAACAAGCGATGCATTTGCAGCGATGGGATCACGACGCTTCCTTTTGGACACAAGAGCGTTTTAGGAAGCGAGCGATCAGCCTCCTCATCGCACGCCTTGTAAATATTTTGGACTGTGACGCAGTCGCTCGCGTTTCCCATCGGTGTGTCTTGAAACTTCTTGTGTACATTTTTGTATAATTCGCTAGCCAAAAAAAAAATAAATATGTATACGATGTTGTTCTTCACAGTGCAATGAGTCTTTTCAATAGACTCTGCAGATTTGTTTGAGACACACACACACACACACACACACGTAGAGTGTTTGATTACTCTTTATTCAAAAAGTCCAAGAGACGCAATGTTGCCTCGTGATCTAAATTTATCCCATACATCGAGGGTTTACCACCGAACACTCGTCTAATTTGATACACATTGAATGGACATCGACGAAAATACATCGACTCACTTATATTGCAAGTGTCTTCGCACTGTAGGTCATGTTTCCGCAAGACACGGACGTCGGCCTCGTGAAGACATCGTTTTAGGTTGCGAGTCTGATTTTTGACCAAGTTTACGCCAATTTTCTCGGGATAGTACACTTTCATCCAGGCACGTATTGCCAAAACAGAGTCTGAACATCGATGAACCTTGATGTCTTCCGTCAAACTTGTCTCGAGTGTGCAGTGGCCGTAAGGGTTTGGTTGAGACGTGGCAAGTCCAAAGACAATAATGTAGATGATTGGCAGGGAAAGCACGATGGTAGCTATTTGATGCATGACGATCGGTCGTGTCACTTCCATAACTAATGTGCGGAGTCTTTATGGAGAAGATGTATATATATATATATATATAAAGAAAGAAATGGCCTTAGGCTGATTGGTGTGGTGACACCCCACAAATGACGCGATTAGCCGCACGACTCGCGACATCTTGTGGGAATATCACCAACCACACTGCACATGGCGCCATCCATCGGCGTGTCCCCACACTTTCCCACGAGTCAACGAGGTATGCTGATTGGTGTGGCGACGGCGACCTCAAGCGCCACCTTGTGGAAGCATCACGAACTATAAACTGAACTTGACAGAGCGTAACAGAGCGGCGTACCCTAGCACTGCCCACGATTGCATGCGCGTCGGGCTACTGAACGAAAGGTCGCTGGTTCGAAACCAGCGACCTTTCGTTCAGCGGCCGATAGCCGAAAGTATTTTAAAAGCCTTTTTCGGAGTAATTAAAATTCGCAGTTGTCACGTGACAGCTGCGTGGCAGGGATCGTCTATCGGCCGATGATCGACTATCGACCGATGGTCAACTATCGGCCGGTCATCGGTCGATGATCAATCATCGATCGGTAATAAATTTATTGATCGATTATCAATTATCGGTTATCGAAAATCAAAATTTTTTTTCAAATATCAGAAACATTCGTTTCTGATATCTGAATAGGTTAGGATAGGATTGGCTAATCGCGACTCCTACGTCAGACCCAGCGGCGGGCGCGCAGTTAGCCATTTAGATATCCGAATAGATAGGATTGATGTGAGAAATAGACACCCGCATAACCCGCATATCGATTCCATAGATATTATCGATGTCAGAAACCGGACACCCCGATATCGGAAACATATCGATATCGGAAACACGCAGTTAGCCATTTAGATGTCCCAATAGATAGGATCGATGACCCACATATCAATTACACAGATAGTATCGATGTCAGAAACCGGACACCCCGTTATCGGAAACATATCGGGAACATATGTTTCCGATATGGAAACACGTGTTTTCGTATTGACTGATTACTACTACTCTGGCCAACGCCCAGGGCAACGCCCATGCCCTGTCATTGGTCCCTGGGATGGGAGAGAGGGAAGAGGCCCCACCCTGCGGCTCTGTGATTGGTCGAGACTGGCCCTGGTATGGGAGAGAGAGAAGAGGCCCCGCCCTGTGGCTCTGTGATTGGTCGAGACTGGCCCCGCCCCCTTAATAAACAAGGGGGCGGGGGCCAGCCCCCTTGTTTGTTTCTGGCTGAATCGTGTATCATAATACACTACTGGTGCCTTTCTGTCTCACGCGGCGACCACATTATGTTCGACGCACCGAGCGCGCTTCGTTGGCTCCCTGTGCACTTAGTAAAATGATGGATTTATGTTGGCGCACTGGCACTGATTGCCTTTTCCCCCGTGCGGCTCCCGTTTTTTTAAACAAGAACATTCCGATGATGACTCAACGTGACAAAAATACTCGTATATATATAAAACTTCTCGGCATAATCTACTGGGCCTTCAATAATTTAGAGTGATTTAGAGTAAACAGCTGGGTCGTGCTCGCATGTTTTGTCAAGCAGCTTGTTTGGTAACAGTTCCGTAAATTGTTTACACACATGGCGTGGATTTATAGGAGGTCGAGTGACTTTCTCCGTCCTCCTCCTGCCTTCTCATTGAAAAATGTAAATTCTAATAATGTTACATAGTGGGGCTTAAATAATTCGTTACATGCGCATAAAGGTTAGAGCACTACAAATGGTTTATACATACAATGTCAACCTCTACTGTGGAACATACAAACCTTGTGAGCAGAAAAACAATTCTATTTAAGGTGACATAGTGACTGAAATAATGACACCGTATGATGACATACTGACTGACATGATGACACAGCGACTGAAAGTCAAACAATAATAGCGGTTATAGAACATAAATCACTTTTTATCTGTACTCTAACAATATTGTGTCAGCCCGTCTTACAGGTAAAAAAATACCTGACAAATATTTTTGCTCAAAAATGTACATAAAAGCTGAATTCACTGCATACTACGAAATAACGCCATCTCCTACATCCTGTGTTTCTCGCCCATGCTGTTAAACTAAGACGAGCGCTGCTTTGCTGATTTCTTCTTTTCTTGAGCTTGTTTGTTCCTACTCATCGTAATATGCTTACGGTGTTGTAGCATTCGCATGCTGAAAGTACTAGTGGAGCAACTGGGAAATTGTTTCTTCTTTGTGTTCAGGGCATGGAAACGTTATTGTGCATGTGTCAAGAACGCAGTCGATTGTGTCCCAGTAGATAGTCTGGTGGTTTTATTGTTCACGAAGAAGGGTTCCGCCTTCTTTAGTAGCTGGAAAAGGTTCTTGTTGGGGTGTATAAGGCCTCCTCTGTTCTTCACGTTTGTCAGTGCTGTTTCAGCAGAAGTGTTATTGTTCATGCTGAAAGCGTATCGGCATGCAGGGCAGCATGTAGCTTTTTTTTTCATTTTCACATTCAAAAACCCAGGTACATAATATGGTATACAGTCCACAGCCTTGGTTTCTTGAGCCTTTTCTGTGCAGACATCTTCGCGTTCCCAGTCTTTGACAGAAATTAGAGTGTCAAGCTTGGTCTTCACTTGCTCAACAAGATGAGGAGTTTAGGTAGGAACTTCCGATCGGCCCTCGGAATTGCACGACGCCACTGCTCCAGGCGAGCGTCATTCGATGGAGCTTTAAACAAGGATACTCGCGCTGCGCAGTTCCGGTACCCCGAATTGCAGTTGGGAACGAAGCACGTCTTTTCCATCCTTATAGCATAACTTCTCCTTCGGGTTAAGGCTCACCTTCGTGCACGATGGTGGTACCTGTGCTCGTAGCAGGACGAAAGCAAAACATGAGGCCAGCCACTGGCCGCGCACCACCACCACACCGCGAAAAAGGCGAGCAAGCTACGCCCCCGACACCGTGGCCGCCGTGGAGAGACCTCATATACCACGATGCTCACACCTCAGCGCCCTCCGCGGCGGCGCGGAACTAACTACATTTCGTTTCACCTATGTTCTACCGCAGCGAAGGCTAGAAGCGCGAGCTCATAGCGTTGGCAGCCGCTTTTAAGTCACGAGAGCTTATGCCGCCGAGATGTGCCCCAGAGCAAAGAGCTCGCGCTTGTAGCCTTTCCTGCGGTACATCATAAGGTGAAACAGAGTATACTCCTGGTTCGAGGCTAGGTCCGAACACGATCTGGTCGCTCGCTCCCCGCGGGAAGAGCGGCCAGAGTCACCACCTAAATGTATTTCTTCCACCGTGGCTTCCGCGCTATGCGCGCTCAGCTCTGGCCTCGGAAGGTTCCGAGGTACCGAGCCGTCTTTAGCATAGTACGCCCTTGCGGCATTACATGATGCCTCCTCTTCGGATCCGAAGATTGGCGGAGCTGCGGAGGAGGCAGAAAGAAAAGGCAGACAGGAAATTGGAAAAGAGGCCCCCGGGGGTGGGGGGGGCAACGATTTTTGTATTTTGGTCAAACATTTGTGGAAGTCACCCTCTGTCGTGAGGTTCGTGATATTGTAAAGGAATGACAGAAGACACGAGGATGCATTATGGGATAATTCACATTGCACTGTAGAAATATGAAAAAAAAAAGAATATTTACACAACTATTTACACCACCTGAACAAATGTTAAGGTTCAAATGTCCCCTAAAGTAAAGGTCCTCGCTCACGACTTTTCACTCCTTGCGGCGTTGTACCCGTGGCAGCCGATGATCAGGGGTCTACCGACGTCTGGGCCGCTGGACGTAGTGACGAGGCAGTTGAACGATGGCCGAAGGCTTGAATAAAGGCCTCGTACGTCGGTGGCAGCCTATGACCAGGTGTTCTCCAAGGTCAGGGCCGCGGGAGGTAGCGACGAGGCAGCTGGGCGTTGGCCGAAGGCTTGAATCCGGCCCCGTACGTCTGTGGCACGGAGCGGCAGCAGGTGTTCAGCTGCGCCACAGATGCAGTCTTGGTTACCTCCGGAAGGTTGGCGCCGGGACTGCGTGAGAAGCGGGTTGTGGGCCGGGCCTCTTGACGTCTGGTCACGCCAACGGAGGTTTGGCCTGGTTGCGTCTGCTTCGTCCCTTGTCAACCGCCCGAACGCCCTCTCGCGCTCTTCGCATGCCTCACACCGTCTTCTTCTTCCTCGTCCTCTTCGGCTTGTCGCGGGATCGCTCATCACAATGACCCCCCAAACAAGGTTTTTTTGTTTTTTCACTCACCAAAAAGAAAAAAAAACTTCACATGAGTCGATCCCAGTCCAAACCAGCTCGTTCAGACGCAGAATAAGTTGAGCTCGAGCTCCAATTATCAATGTCCCTGTCATAAATTTAAACGCCTGTGCCTACGAATTCCTACAACAGCAAAGAGGAGACCGGTCAAACTCATCGCGTACCTCATACTCGGCTTAAATAGTCTGCCCCCACATTATCCACTCCTTGTATATAACTCACACTGAATTGGTATTCATGCAGAAGCAAACTCCATCTTAGAATCCTACTGTTTGCTGCTTTCATCTTATGTAAATACTCCAAAGGCTGGTGATCCGTCTGAACTTTAAACTCCCTCCCATACAAATACACGTGAAACTTCAGGATCGCCCACACTAACGCCAACGCTTCCTTTTCTATTGTAGAATAGTTCTTTTCTCTGGGCAACAAGTTTCTACTCGCGTAGGCAACTGGATGCAAGAACGACATGTGTTCTTGGATCATCATGGCACCCAGGCAACTGTCCGATGCGTCTGTTCGGAGCACGAACTGCTTCGTAAAGTCGGGTGCTCGGAGAGTCGGCCCAGCTGAAAGCGCTCGTTGCAATTCTTGAAATGCATTCTCTCGCTCGCTTGTCCACCGCAACATGTTTGGCTCCTTCTTTTTGGTGAGCTCGACTAGGGGTAGAGCCTTTTCCGCATAGTTCGGAATGAATTGTCGGTAGTAACCTGTGAATCCCAGGAATGACCTCAGTTGCTTCTTATTCGTTGGTCTCTTTGAACCAACAATTTTTTCTAGCGTCACCGGTATAGGAGCAAGCTCACCGTGCCCTAGTCGATGGCCCAGGAACGCGATCTCTCTCATCCCCAGTTCGCATTTGCTAGGCTTGACAGTTAGGCCTGCTTCTTCAATCCTTTGCAGAACCTGCTGGAGTACATCTGGGTGTTCGTCCCAAGTCGTGGTTTCAATCAGTACATCGTCGATATAATGTTGTACACCTTGGATGCCTGCAAGCACCCTCGTCATGAGTCTTGTGAAAACGGCAGATGCCGTCTTTATCCCGAATGGCATGCATTTAAATTCGTAAAGTCCAGATTCCGTGGAGAAGGCCGTTTTTTCCTTCGAATCATTGGCGAGTGGTATTTGCCAATACCCTTTTGAGAGGTCTAGCTTCGAGAAATATACTTTATTTCCAACTTCCGCGAACACGTCTTCGATCCGAGGAATAGGTTCAGCGTCAGGTACAAGGATGTCGTTGAGCCGACGGAAGTCGATGCAGACTCGATGTGAACCGTTTGGCTTCTTCACCAGAACCAACGGGAAACGGTATGCTGACGTCGATTTTTCTATTACTTCCAACTTCAACATTTCTGCAACTTCCTCTTCTACCATCTGCCTTGTTGCAGAAGGAACCGGATACTGTGGAGTCTGAATGGGATCGTTAGTAGTCAACTCCAACTTACACTCCAACAGATGTGTTCGTCCAGGCAATTCAATGAAAATCCTTTCAAACCTACCTAGCACGTCTTTGATGTCCGTTTCCTGGCCCCCAGTAAGGTCTTTGGCCAGCACCACATCGACGATTCCTTGAGTGCTCTTGATACCTACGCAGGGTACCGGCTGCTCTACTTCCTCCTCCTCGATGGCAATCATTAAGGAAAGTGCTCTTTCACCATAGTATCTGGCTCTCGTTCTTCGTATTTTTGGAGCATGTTAATGTGGAAGACCTTGGTGGTGTGCCCTAAGTCTATCACATAATCGACCTCACTCTTTTTGCCGATGACTTTGTATGGGCCTTTCCAGTGCATAACCAACTTGTTCGTCTTTGTCGGTATCAACAATATTGCACGGTCTCCGACCTTCAAAGTCTCCTCCCCGCCTTCCTGTCATATATCTTCTTCTGGTGCTTCCTGGCTGCTGTTAAGTTCTGGTGCGCCAGTTCGGTGGTCCTTTCAAGGCGGTTGCGTAGGTACAAAACGTGTGAGTATGTCGTCTTCAAGTTTCCTTCTAACTCCTCCTGCGTCCAGATTTCCTTCAAGATTGTCAGCGGCCCTCGAACGTGCCTCCCATATACAGCTCAAAGGGAGCGAAACCCAGGCTGGCTTGCGGGACCTCTCGGTACGCGAACAGGAGTGGTGCCAGGTATCGATCCCAAGATCGAGGCTTCTCTTGGCACATCTTACACAACATCTGTCTTAAGGTACCGTTGTACCTTTCGACTAATCCGTTGCAGATAGGGTGGTACGGAGTAGTCAGAAGCTGTTGGATGTCCAGTAGTCGTGTAAGCTCCTTCATGAGCCCGGACGTGAAACTTGTCCCACGGTCCGATAAGATTTGCCTGGGCAGCCCCACTCGAGAAAAGATCTCTAATAATCCCTCCGCCACCGTGCGAGAGTCACAGGAAGGCAACGAAACCGCGTCTGGGTATCTGGTGGCGAAATCTACCATCGTCAATACATATCGGTTTCCGCTTTCCGAAGTCGTCGGAAGTGGTCCTACTAAGTCGATTGCCACTCTCTCAAACGGGGTGTCAATAATAGGCATTCGCCCAAGTGGCGCTCTTTTGACTTGCCCTTTCGGAGTGGCCCTTTCGCAGGCATCACACGATTTAGCGTAGCGTTTAATGTCAGCCTGAACTCCAGGCCAATAAAAAGCATCTAACACTCTGTCAGTAGTTCTCTTTACTCCCTGGTGACCTGCCATCGCACTGTCATGTGCCACCTCCAAGACGTAATTTCTAAGTGTGGTTGGAACGACCACCTGCTTGAAGTGTTTGCCCCCTTTTTCCTCGCATTTTCGGCACAGCACGCCTTTCGATAAACCAAAGCTGTACGTCGATCCTTCCTTTGTGTTGTGCACCTGTTCAATTTTGCTCCGACAGACGTCCAACGTGGCATCACCTCTCTGGCGTTCTCTTAAAAGCTCAGAGGTTATTTCATTCCTCTTGACTTCGCTTGATTCGCCCGTTTTATCTGTCGGCTTCGATCTACTAGCGGCCGACACGTCGCTGATAGCAACACTTTCTGTTCGAGTGTCTAGAGCTCTTCCTTCCGGGCTTGGTTGCCCTCCCTGGTCATTCCATCCGGGATTGGGCTCTTCTGCACTTCGGGCTCCTTCAATATTTCCTAAGATTACATCATAAAGAGGTGACTCCATGCACTTTACAAGCAAATCTCCGGTGAAATATGGAGAACACAGTTCCACCCTAGCCTCTGGTAGCTGTAACGATGTTCCATCCACAAGGAATACCACACCCGCCTTTCCAGTGAGACGTGTTTTCGACTAAGCTGCGTCGAACAATTACCGTATTACTGCCAGTGTCGCGCAATACGCTGACTCGTTGGTTAAGTACACCATGCAAGACAGGCATGTTTCGACCCTTGTTTACTTTCTTGTGTTCTTGGGTTACATTAATCACCCCAACCTCATCATCGTCGGAGAGTGAAGGCCTTTTTTCCTCGATAGCGCTCCTAGGTGGTTCTACCTCACCCTTAGGTGTCCCAGGAGGCTCAACGAAACACATTGCATGTGGTCTCTCTTCGCGTTTCCTGGGGCAGTCTCTTTCGTCGTGCCCTTCTCTTCGGCAGAAAGAGCACGCTGGAATCTTTTGCTTATATCCATTTTGACACTGAGGTGCCTTGTGTCCTAACTTGCCACATAGGAAACATTTAAGTTTGGTAAATTCAGGCGCGTCAGAATTACCCCTCTGATTCAAGGCGGCTTTTGTCTCTTCTCAAAAAAAGAATAGACTTTTTTGTTTCTGTGCTTCGAGGAATCGATCAGCCGTCTCAACCATTGACGAAAGTGTCTTGCAGTCTCTCTCCCTCAGAAAGATAGCGACCTTCTCGTAGCACTGGGACAGAAATTGCTCCGCAAAGACTGTGTCTCGCAACGCGTCGTACGGTGTAGGCGTCTCTCCTACTTCCAGCCACCTATCAAAATAACTTTCTAGCCGGGCGGCGTATTGACTAGCTGTCTCTCCTTCCTCGGGTTTGGATTTTCTGAACTTTTCTCGATATCCCTCTGTCGTAAATCGGAATCTTTCCAGAAGAGCTCTCCTGGTGGCTTTGTAACTCATAGAGTCTCGCGGCGATAGCCTGCCGTGCACCTTCAAAGCCTCTCCCGTAAGGCACATGCTCAGCGCCGTTGCCCATTTTGATTCTTGCCATTCTTCTCCCTTTGCAATACATTCAAAACGTTTCAGATAGGCGTTTAGATCATCTCGCTTCTCGTCAAATGGCGGGATGAATTTACGGGAACAAATAGAACCAAGATTCATCCTCCCATTGTTACTGTCCTCGGGCGTTGCCTCAAGATTTGTTGCCGCTCCGCTTTCAACTAGCCTTAAACGCAGCTGCAGTGCCCGCTCCTCTATTTCGGCTTTTTCTCTACTTGCTAGTCTCTCGGTGGCTCTCTCCTCTCTCTCCCGCGCCTTTTGCTCCCTTTCGTAGGCAACTTTCTCTTCCGCCCACTCTCTCGATTCAACGCCCTGTAGGCCTAACGACTTGCCTACGTCTACTATATCTTTTAGATCCATCGTGCAGTGAATTATCCCGAACAATTCAAAGTGTCTCCGTCCGGTCGCGGACGCCAAATTGTCGGGAGGTTCGTGATATTGTAAAGAAATGACAGAAGACACGAGGATGAGTTATAGGATAATTCATATTGCACTGTAGAAATATGACAAAAAAAAAGAATATTTACACAACTATTTACACCACTTGAACAAATGTTAAGGTTCGAGTGTCCCCTAAAGTAAAGGTTCCTCGCTCACGACTTTTCAGTCCATGCGGCGTAGTACCTGTGGCAGCCGATGATCAGGGGTCTACCGACGTCTGGGCCGCTGGACGTAGGGACGAGGCAGTTGAACGATGGCCGAAGGCTTGAATAAAGGCCTCGTACGTCGGTGGCCGCCTATGACCAGGTGTTCTCCAAGGTCAGGGCCGAGGGAGGTAGCAACGAGGCAGCTGGGCGTTGGCCGAAGGCTTGAATCCGGCCCCGTACGTCTGTGGCAAGGGAGCGGCAGCGGGTGTTCAACTGCGCCACGCATGCAGTCTTGGTTACCTCCGGAAGGTTGGCGCCCGGACTGCATGAGAAGCGGGTTGTGGGCCGGGCCTCTCGACGTCCGGTCACGCCAACGGAGGTCTGGCCTGGTTGCGTCTGCTTCGTCCCTTGTCAACCGCCCGAATGTCCTCTCGCGCTCTTCGCATGCCCCACACCGTCTTCTTCTTCCTCGTCCTCTTCGGCTTGTCGCGGGATCGCTCATCACACCCTCTGACACTTCTAAAGTAAAGAACAGAAAACCGATTTCTCCTGCCGGTCCTAGTTGTTGGGTAAAAAAAGAGATAAACATTAGCATTTCTGGCACCCCTCCACTCACTTCCAGTCTTTAGGGTCACACTTGGTCCGCCTCCTAGTGACATAATTCGGGGTGCCGTGTAGCTTCCGGTATGCTGTATCGGAGAACGCTTAAGGCCGGTTCTCACATGCAGCGAAGCGCTGATGTAGCGCTCCTCACGTGTCGTCAGCTACTTATCGGCTGCCATGAGCAACAGTTATGACGGTGCGATACAAAGCTGGTGAACGCTGCCGTCAGCACGCGCTAAGCGCGAGGTTAGCGCTATGCTTGTAGCGCTCCGCTGCATGTGTGGACAGGCCTTTACTCTCCCTTTCTGTGCTGGCATTAGCGGGAGTTATGCTGCAGCTTAAAGCCGAGCGAGGTCACGTCAACTTTTCGCTGTAGTTCCTTCGGCTGCCACTCGTGGCTGCAGGTGGAGGAAAAAGCTCGACTTTGGTTTTGCGATTATGCAGCGGAATCGCGACATTTTTTAATGAAGCAGATGTTTTCTGTATCCTCGGGGACATGATGAACAACGTAAAAATGACGAGATGCCAATTCTTTTAATCTTAAAATTGTTGCACCCCCCCTCCTCATTTTTAAAGCCCCATCAAGTTTTAAAAGTAGCGCAAAGTGCGTCGATGAAGGATACACGTCCAACGTAAAGCCCTTTAAAGATGATGGCGGCACAACGCACCACTGAGCTAGATTTCAGGCGCCGTGTTCTTCCCAGCAGTGGCACGCGGCACGTGCCTCGAGCATTTCTACAATAATGAATGGCGCCACTTTTCCAAGGATAGAAGGGCTTTAATTCCGCTCGGGCTTGGACGCCAGGAGTCGTCGAGCAATAGAAGTAAAACGAATGTCTCGGATTCCTCGGCATAGGCTTGGGCGATTTCGCCCAAGCGCGTTCGAAGGAATTTCAACGCCTTGCTAAGGCGTCATGATCGGATCATGACCGCGCCCAAGCTCCCCCTAGGCGAGCAAGATGACGGGGCCCTGAGGCCATATTGCAAACGTGTATACGGCAAAAAGGTATCGTCTTATCAACGTCCTCTTTCCATATTCCCCTCTCTCTCACTTTATATTCGTATTGGTTGGAATCCCTTGCTTGGGATGGCTAAAAGAGGTTACGCAAGTTACGAAGTACCCACTTCTCTCCTTTGGTGTAGATTACTTTTATCCCTTCACAGTGGTAGAGTGGAACTCGCAACTCATGAGTTCGATTCTCGCCGAGGCGCGTTTCAAATTTCGTCCTCTCTTCTCAATCTACCACTCTCGTGTACAGATTTTTCTCGAAAGTGCCTTTCATAAC